AAATATATAAACTATGTTACATGCGTTATATGCGTCTCTAATTATTTTTCCCTAGCAAATTTCAATTGAACCTAAAGCTGCCACGTCAGTTTAATTGGTATGCTAATTGATTGACAACTAAGCAAGGTTACTTTTTAATTAATACAAACTTGAGGTTACATCTTTTCAAATGTTTCTCAATTAATATATAGGGGATTAAAATAAAGTCATTCTTTTTATCTACTGATATAAGTTATCATTTAAATTTGGACTCTTTTTAGAGTGTTACAAATAATACAAGTCATATAGTTAATTGAACCGCATTACTTAAATTAAACCGATGGTTATTTATGGGATATAGTCTTGGGCTTACTTTTGTTTTTAAAACAAATTATATGGTTTGGTTTTTGGGCTTAGTATTAAGGAAAAACTCCAAAAACATTGAATAATCTTTCCACCTTAATAGATAAAAAAATCAATTATTATTTTCAAGCCCAAAAGGTATTTAATATTTTTAAACAAAACAAAATTGTCTATTATTAATCATTTATTTAAATCATGTACTTTAAAACATGTTAATGTATTTTTTTATTTTAAATAACAATCATTTTGTTTTGATAAATTTCAATGGTAAATTTTAAATAATTTATTGTTTTATTTCTCTTAAATAATTTACTAATTTTAAAAATGTAAAGCAAAACCAAAAACCAAATCGAAAAACTAAAATCCAAAACCAAAAACTGAAAAACAGGTTATATTTTTTTTGCTTTTATTTATTTAAAAAATAAACTATTGCAAATTTCTTTAAAAAAATTTGTCATCTTTTCAGTTTTAAATTAGATGTTCGATTATTTGGGATTTGTTTGTTAGTAATATCAGTTCAAATTAACTCAGCGGGTCTAAAATTAAAAACCCAAACCAAAAGCTGAAAGTCAAAAATAGAAACTTAAAAAATAAAAACCAAAATCTAAAAATAAAAACTAAAACTAAAAACTAATTAATAAGAATCATCACCATAAATTTTGGTGAACTGATTTTATCCCAAAACATTCTTTAAATTAAGGTAAAACCCAATTACATAAATTTTTAATCATAAAAAATTTCCGTGCTTGAAAAGCGCGGATCAAAATCTAGTTAGCTATTTAAAGGCATCAATTTGTCATATAGTACAGCGGCAGAAGATGTTTTCATAACGCATAAGCATCGAAGTTTGAGTCTTGCATAGTATTTATGATGTTGGGCCGACGAGATATACCTGTAATGCTAGGATTATTAGGTCTCATATTCATATTCTGTGAACTGTGACTCTAATACAATAATGCAAGACATAAATTTCGGAGTGAGAATCTCACACCAAGCAGCGTTTAAGTAGTTATTGCTGAGACGTGAAAAGCATGTGGTAATCACAGATCATTTTCTTATCCACGACCTGATGGTTTGATTATGTTCAGTGAGGAGTCCAGTAAAGTTGCGAAGATGAGAGAGTGTTGGTATCTAGATTTCCGCGGAACGGTCGACACCACAAAACTGGCATCCGGGACAAGGTACGAGGTGGTGTTTGTGGTGAAAGTAGAGGATACTATGCGCAGATGGGATTCTCCGGCAATGGTACGACTGATGGTACCCGATAACGAGCTTCAAGAGCGGAAATTGCAATTTGTCGATCTCGAAAGAAACGAGTGGATTGAAATTCAGGCCGGCGTTTTCATTGCACAGCCGCATAAAGTGCAGACCGAGTTCAAGTTGTACCAGTATGAGCCTATTCTGATGACAGGGCTCATCCTTAAAGGGGCTATAATTCGTCCCGTGGAGTAATACAAATGCATCATACGCCACGTACAAGCTGAAGTTTGAGTCTATCTTTCTATGAATGGTGGCACTATCTATCTTAAATACTATTGTAATGAATAAGTTAAGTTGATTGCTTTGTTGTTTTGGTTTGTTTTGTTAAACGATTGTGTTTGTGTTTGTGTTTATAATAATTGAATTTAAGTTTTCATTTAAATAACTTCTTTATCATACGAAAATGCATTTGCTTGTTGGTTTTTGTATATCTTAAAATATTTATGCTTACATATAAACGATAACACGCTTTTTGTCTGTAAATTTGGTCATATCTTGTAAGATCCTTGCTTTTGGTTCCCACACATGAAAAATGAGCAAGAAGTCGGAACCTAAAACTCAAATCAGATAAAGTTTTTAACACCTAGATGCTCTTGTTGAACGGATGAGTTGTGCAACATTCATCACCTCTTAATAAACTGAATTTCATAATTAACTAAAAAGATAACTGACAATGGTTTTGTTGTTTGTGTTAGTTTTTTTGCTCACCTTTTTTCAAATGACCAAATGATTATTGATTATACTTTTGTAAGAAAATATACACAAACAAGATAAAGATGACTAGTTTAAACTTAGTTTTGAGTATTGAATATTTTAAACTAAATAAAAACACTCTTAACACAAACTTGGTTTTTACATAATCACCACACACGTTTTGTTCAAAAATACCCACCCCACAAATTAAAAATTAAAAATTTAATACAGAAACATGACACATTAACTCTCCACGATCATTTCATTATCTTGTTGATCATCATACTTAATCCTCATTGTGGGTATAACCTTCAGTGTCATTATTAAAAGTTCTCTTTGTGGAAGGAGAATCTAATCTTCGTCTTGTGTGAAAATTCCAAAGCTAGACGCCTTAACTCCTTTGTCAATACCGGTGATCCACAATAGAAGACTCCTGCACGATTATATGTACAAACCCATGTTTATATCATATTCTCTTCTTCATAAGCATTACTTAAATCACATGATATATGCCATAGTGCCATATGAAGATAAATTTTAGCTTATAAGTGCTTGATTTGATGTGTGCTTCAGGGAGAGAGAACTTACCAACATTAGTGCCGTCTGGATGATCACTGGCTATCTTTTTGTACACGTCTTCCCAATTAGGTTTGGCGAAGTGGGACATGACCCTTGTCTCAGAGACAATGTCCTTACCACTCTTGGCATAAGCTATAGACTGAAGCATACGTATAAGCGCAGAGCGAGCGTCATCTTTTTCGAAGACGCTAGTGCAATAGTTATGTAGTTCTATGATTTTGTTTTCGTCCCGTTCAGCGATTTCGTTCATGATGTTCTTGAACCAATCATAAGAGCCCTGCTCCCTTGTTACCCAGTAGAAGTAAGCCCTTCGCGTTTTGAATTTCTCTTTTTTACTTTCTGGCTCTTGTCGCAATCCATTCACCATTTGGTTGAGTTGAGCGTTTTCTATGGCATACGTATTGTTGATGATATCTTTGATAATGCTGATCATCGGTGTGGCACCAATACCAAGGCCAACCAGTAGAACCACCTCGTACTTCTTGTAGTCTTGTGCTGGTGCGCCGTAGGGACCATCAATCAAGATTTTGGGATAACTGTGGAATAATGGGTCATTAATGACAGAGCTTGAGAGATTTAATGTATTTCAACGAGAAATTATTTGAAATACTTAAGATATCATTCTTTTCAAAAAATATTCTGAAATTTAGGTTTAGAGTTTAGTGATTATTGTTCAAAATTTAGTATTTAGGGGATGAGATTGTATTTTAAACTTTTATAAATAATTTTAAACACTTATAAATGATTTTAAAATATATATATATATATATATATATATATATATAAATGATTTTGAAGTGTTAGTTTAGTCACATCCCAAACTTAAAATATTTGTGAAAATGATTATTTTTAAGGTAGATTTGAAAATTAATATCAAAATTGTGGAAAAATTCTAATTCCCCAATTTTTAGTTTGAAAGCTGTTTTCATGTGGAAATCACGTATCACCAACTTCTTTTAGTCTTTGACTATGACGAGATATGTATTTTTTATTTGTTTATTCAAAATTTAGATATGTTTTTTTATTTCTGTGCTTGGGACGATTTACGCCCTTCTCTAAATAATCGTCGTTTTGAATCAATTTATATGTATAATTTATATTAATAAATATTATATTATTATAATTATACATATGACTTTGGATATATTATTTTCAGTTTAATTATTTTTTGGATCAATAGTCGGTTTGGTTATCAATTTGGTATATTGTAGGTATAATTTGTATTAATAATGTTATATTAATTTAATTATATATATAATTTTAGATATGTTATATTTCATCAGTTTTATTGTTTTTACGGTTGATTTAGCTCTCTTTTGGATATATTAGATTCTATCTGTTTTTCTAAATTCAACTATAATCTTTTTTATCCTCAATTTATTAAATTTTTGATTAATCGTCTTATTTGCATTTATGCCGATTGTTATTTTAAAAATATAAGTATATCTAGTAAGAGTATGTATAACTTACGATTTTTTATGCTTAGAAAGAAAAAAAAATAGAAACTAAATTGTCTGATTCTAAATTACATACATGCGTAACTAATAAATTTTTGGAAGCTTATGAACACATATCAATATTTACAATATTTAGATTGATTGGATGGTAAACAGAAATTTATTTTAAATAATTTTAAAATAAAGATTCTGATTTGCTTAAGTATTTTGATTATGGTTATATTAAGTTCCACAAACATAAAAACAGAAAATAAAAAATCCAAAGAATTATTAAGCAAACATATAAATCTAACTATTATATAATATATATACTTTGTTAAATTATATAGTGTTATGATGTTTTAAAATAATTGTAGTTATTTGATAAAAAAATGTTTATTATTAAAATTTATTTTTAGTTTTTTTTTAATATCTCTTAAAATATGTAGTAAAAAAATTTATTGTTTTTGAAAATTATATTATATAAGTAAAATAGAATTTATATTTTTTTTGCTGTAATTGTAAGATATTATAGTCAAATAAATATACTAAAAATAAAAAAAAAATTTCAAGAATATAATTGTAAATTTTTTTGTCAATTAGACATACTTTAGTTTATCTTACTTAATTATTTTATGTAATCATATAATAAAATAGATAGATATATACCAAATTAATAATTACTTTGAAAAAATATATATATATTTATTGTTTAAAATTATTTTTTTTATAGAAAAAAATATTTCTTTTTCTAATATCAAGATTAGTTGTGTGATTTTTTTATGGAATCACATTATATCCAAATATTGTTTTTCATCTAAGAATATATAGATATAAAGTATTTTATTACTTCAAAAGTGTATTTTATGTTATTTAAAATATATATTTTAATTAAATATTACTATTTTGTGAACTTTCCTTTTTTATGAAACCATATTTATATATACTTATATTTCGTTTTTAATTAGATTTGTAAACTTTATAAATGTTTCCTTTTTATTTTATATTGTTATTTGGAAAAATTTTAAAAGGAAATAATAATATTTAAACGTATTTTTTAAATTTATTAAGGGTATCATAGTAATTTAAATAATAATAGAAAGTGACTTCTCAAATAATATTATAGAGATATTTAAGATTAAACTCTAAATATTTTTTATCGGATTGGAAATTTCTTACTTGGGAATATTTACACCATGCGTCGTATCTCTAACTGGAGGTGGTTTAGACGTCACCTGAGACATAACACAACATAATTCTCAAAACCATCTTTGATCTTTCCGTCAGTTAAAGATCTACAAAGTATTTAATTTTGAGTTATTTAGAGGTAAAAATACCTCAGAGAAAACTCCTTTAATAGCCTTTGTCCAATCTCCGTCTGCTTTTATATGTACGCTCAAATAGCCGTCTTGTGGTGCAGAAGTTATTGAAAATGGATGCCTACAGTGATATATATCATCACATGAATCAATATTGAAATGACTTTATGATTCTTGATTCTTAAGAGTAGTTTTAACGTACCACTCAAATGGTGAGACTTTTGGGCAGTTTACAAACATGTATTGACCGCTTTTGTATTTGAAGTGTTTAGGCCTTGACATTTTCAGGGTCGTTACGTTTCCAGGATAAATCGCAGCGCTATCAACTTCTACCGTCCTGATGCTGGATCTGAATGCTCGTATCAGTCTCTCCCATGCGTAGAGAGTTATTGGTACTGCTAAATACATCCACGTCTACAAACAAAACCCTCGAGTTCATTAGTCACGTTTTTGGTCGCTTAAGATTACAACCAAAATTGTCGGAACCTCAAAGTAATATACTCACCGTTTTCTTGTACCATTCCTTACTAAGATATAGGTAGTATCCATGAACGATGAGGAGAGTGTAGACTACGATAAACAAGTGATGAGTGTACCAGAAGGCATTAAAGCTAGCGAGTTTCTTTAGTGGCCCTGGAAGTGTTTTCTCTAGCTTCCCTCGTCTAAACCAAGGCAGGGCTAGTGTAAACGCAATAGCCATCAAGAAAACCATTACGAGTCCTGTTATCCCTTCTGTTGACTTCACAAAGTGTGAGTATCTCGTAGGTTGTTCTTCCCCAAAGTATTTTCCTAGAGGTTTGTATTCATCTGGAGTCGCCGCGATCAGCCGTGGAAAATCGCAAGCCAAGTGAGCAATCGAGTGTATGCCTACTCCTATCGTAATTCCCACTGCTATAACCTGAAGGTTTAGGCGTCAAGTTACTATAGATGGGGGATTATAGCTTTTTTTTTTGGCGTCAAATAGGATTATAGCATTTTTAAAGTATGGTTTTTATAACTTGGCAAGTATTGAACATTAGTTTAAACTAATTAGTTTAAATTTTTTTTAAAAAATGTTAAAAAAAACTACGTTTCTTTTGATGTAAAACGTGTATATTAAACATCAAAGTGCAACGGATAAAACTATTTCTCAACCACCCACTACCATATAAAGTTGGTTTACACATATTTTATAAAAAGTTTGGTCTTACCTTATGAAAGTTGATGTTGTCATCGAAAGGGACCATAACACCCAACCTAGTCTTATTTCTAAGCCATGTGATGGTGTTTCTGCATACAGGAAACAGAATCAAGGCCATATTCAGCTTCAATGTCTCTGCTGAACCCTTAGCAAAGCACACGCAGTGCCCCAGCACTTCATAGACTGCTCTATTTTTGTATTGAATATATTTGTATGTGAAGAG